TAGTATTGCGTGGGCAGGATACTGTCAGGTTGCCCAGGCCTAGACAGGAGAACGATTAGGGTTCTCAACCAAAGCCTTTGGTTCAAAAACCTGACCGCAAGGCAGCGGGTTTGGCGTTGGGCTACAAGGAGTCCATGTTAAGGAATAAGGTGCCACCCTCATTCCAACCCCCAACCTGGAGGACCAGGAGGCTGAGTTTGTCTGGCCTCTAACCATTGACCAATCTGGTATGAGTGACTCTGAAGGTGCAAAAGCACCACCCAGCGTAGCTCAATGGATCGCTGAGGCACACAAACCATCGCACCACGGTAAGGTCCAGCCTCATTGCGATGGAGCTGAAGAGCACACGGAAACTTGAACGAAAGCTTGATCCACACGATGCCCTACGCTTTACACAGAAAGCGCGAGATGCTAACAACACATCATCAACAGCAGTACATCTGCCATTTGAACTGAAGCTTCGTTGCCATACAACCATGAGGACCTATGAAATAAAGAATGAGCAGACGGAGAGAAGAGGGACTTACCTGCAAACCTTAACGCCCTGAGCAAACATTCAGGGTCAAGGCGCCTACACCTTGTGTAGACAACATACCGTCACAAACAGCCGGCTATCATGCAAAGATAAGGCGGCATCGGTGAGACAGCTTCCTTGCGGTTTTCACTGCCATGCATCATAATCAGCCATTACCTCGCGGATAACTCAGTATCAAACACACTTTAAACAGGCAATCCGAGTACGAGACGGCAGCAGACGTGCCACTGGTGTCGGTTGCTAGTCATGTCCTGTAAAGTCTCGAGCCAAGTACAAGGCGAGTCAAGTGGACTCCAGCCCGGAAGGCGAGACGGACCAACGGCACCCAGTTTGGTCGTCAGTGACTTCATTTCCCGCTACCAAGTCAACGTCTGTCCACCGCGAGCCTTGCGCCACCCTACACCTGCCAGACTAAACAAGGCCATCCTAGGTAAGCGGTGACCAGGCATGCGTAGCACGTGCCCGAGCCAACGCAACTCACTCAGTGCTATCTGTTGTTCTAGGGAGATAGCATGATTATCACTACCTAGTACTCGCCTACGCACATCATCGTTGCGGACACGCTGGTGTCATTCGATTCTAGCAATGCTTCGAAGACAACGAAGATCAAAGACTTGAAGGCGTCTCAGATCTTCAGACCGAAGGGGCCAAGTCTCACTACCATAGAGCAGAACGGCCCTCACTGCTGCCTTGTATATCCGGCCTTTCAGACGGAGGAAACTCCCTTCTGTCGCCAAAGATGACGCAGGTACAAGAAGGCAGCTCTAGCTTTTGCAATGCGTGATCTGACGTCAGTTTCTATGCGCCCATCATTGCTGATGCAGCTGCCAAGATAAGTGAAATGATTAACCACCTCGAGTTCCTCGTTAGCAAGCGTCAAGTAGTCATCAAGTAGCTGGTTGTCCTGCAGCAACACTGCACTTTGAAGGTGCGAAGTGCATACCAAATAATGGGACCACTCTGGATAGGCTATTCAGGGTTGATTGGGACGCCTTAACATCGTCGAAAAGCAAGACGATATCGTCCGCATAATCCAGATCAACTAACCTTTCACCAGACATCGTGAGATTCCGCAAGGGAACACTTCATGATAAAATCCTAGACAAAATTGAACAAAAATGGGGAAATCGGACAACCCTGACGAACGCCACTTGTGGTCGGAAAGCTATCCGATAGGACCCCGCAGACGCTGACGCGCCCTGTAGTGTTCGAGTATAGAGCACGAAGGATGTTCACGTTTCGTTTGAACACCTTTCCGCGCAAAAGCGATCGATCGACTGAATCGAACGCATTCTTGAAATCGAGGAACACAGCTATTGCCGGTCTGCGGTATGTATGGCGCTGCTCTAGCACCTGCCGCAAAGTGAATATATGGTCTATACAGCCACGTCCTGGGCGGAAACCGCACTGCTCTTCCCTACTCCGAGATTCCCGTTCCACAGTGAGGCGACGAAGGATAATCGATACCAATAATTTTGTCACAACTGGCGTTAAGCTAATACCCCTGTGGTTAGGACAGTCTGTGCGACTGCCTTTATTGTATATTGCCACAATAATCGATTCACTCCAATCAGCCGAGACATACTTTTCCTTCCAGACAGGTTCGAATAGGGAGGTAAGTGCTTTGCAAAGGACCTCACCTCCATCCTTATATAGGGCAGGTGGGAGGGAATCCGGGCCAGCGGCACGAAAACGATTGACGGCTGTGATTGCGTTTCGGACCTCGGCCTCCGACGGAGGCTCAAAACTAACCACCCATGGCTCATCCTGTATCACCTAAGTAGGAAGAGGTCCGGGAGCAGGAGGCCAGGTGAACTGATCTTGAAAGTGTTCCGCCCAACGAGCCATACGGCGCTCCTTATTGTGTATCAGCGCAATCGCGCTGTCTCTGATTGTCTCACTGACGCCTAGTTTCCTCGGACCAGTGGTGCAAATTAACTGGAAGAGCGTGCGGTAATTGAGTACTGCTCCTGCCTCCTCCATTCCTCGAGCCCTACTGGTCCACCAGGCTTCCTTGTCAGCACGTAGGCTCCGCTTTAGTTCACGCCTAATAGCCCGTCTGGTCACATTGTGTTCAGAACCAGCCGGGAGGTGTCTTCTAGCTTCCAAAAGGTTCACGGATCTCTCGGATATCCAGTGACTGGTGCGGTGACGATGGATAGTGCCACAAACAGATGATCCTGCGTCGTGCATGACGGCCGAGATCCTATTCCACTGAAGCTCAGTGTCATTAGGGCAAGACAGCGGAAGTTCGGTATGCAGTGCTTCTTGATAGGCTTGCCTGACCGAGGACTGAGACAATTTCTCCGTTGCCAATCGTAGGGGACACTTGGTGCGCCTTCCGGTAAAGTTAATGGAGAAACGACAACGAACCAATGCATGATCAGAGTTGACGCAGGTACTCCAGTACGAGCGGCAATCCAGGATAGAACCACGCCATCTGTAACTTATGGCTATGTGGTCAATTTGGGTCCATCGCTGGCCAGCTACAGGAGGACGCCAAGTGGCACTTCGGCGCCCACTGTCTAAAATCAGTGCTACTAAGAAACAACCGGTGCTCCACAAACAGTTGCAGCAGACGCTCACCGTTGTCAGTCCGTTCGGAGTTAAGCCCACAATTACTACCAAGCTGAGCTTCTGAAGAGCTCAGACGCCCTACTTGTGCGTTCATATCCCCTGCAAATACTATTATATCTGAACTAGTAGCACTGCGCAGTAGCGCGTTCAGAATGTGTCCTTGGCAACATCTGAACTGCAGTCGGTGGGAGCACAAGCGGAAATCATAAACAAACAGCGTTTTGTTTTACTTCGTGAATTCACCTTAGCTGATGTCGTCAAACGGACTGCAAATAAACGGCTGTTCACCGGAATCCAATCAACCAACGATGGCAGCGTTGGAGCTTAGAACGATACCTCCATCAACTTGACCCATGAGTGCTGTATCGGCGTCTCTGGATGCGTGTAACCAATAACGAGAGGATAAGCTATGTGCAGTTAATTCAATAACCCCGTTAGCGCCATTGATCCTAGTTCCGGACACACAACACACATCAATACCCAGCGTGTCCAAGTTGCGTGCGAGTGCAGCCTGTTGACCTGTTTGTCTTAGAGCGCGAGCATTGAATGTCGCCATGGAAACGGGATAGCGTGGCCTTATAAGGGACTTTTGCCGATAGGCGTCCGATAGGTGCGGTGGGATGGTGGCTGCAGATGGTTCTACTTCAGTGGCACTTCGGTTGCTGTCAATTAAGCTGGGAATTATAGAAGGAAGGTTAGTAATGGGGGCCGGGATGGGAGTAAGAGAAAAAGGTGGAAAAGAAAGAAGGGAGGTGTCAGCAGCAGCATGTGTTCGGTTATCCGCCCTGCTGTATGCAGCAGATAAGGCGACCTTTGATAATCTGCGCGACGGCCGATGCAGGATGAAGTTTATGTTTGAAGAAAACGTCATGGTTGTATGTGGGATGAGATACTGCCAGGGCGCCCAGACCTAGACAGGAGGACGATTAGGGTCCTCATCCAAAGCCTTTGGCTCAAAAGTCTGTCCGCAAGGCAGCGGAGAGGTGGCAATGATTTAGTTTTACAGAAATGGACGCCATCCCATTTCAACCCCCCGAGCTGAAAGACCAGGAGACTGAGATTGTCTGACCTCTCACCTTTGACCAACCTGGTAGGAGTAGCTCTCAAGGTGCCCGGAGGCATCAAACAGTATAGCTCAATGGGTCAATGAGGTACGCAAACCGTCGCACCACGTTAAGGTTCAGTCTCGTTGCGACGGATGCTAACAACACAAGTGGACAAAAACATGGCAAGATGTTTACCAGCGGATTGCAGTGGTCGCGAACACTTACAACGGAGCCACTAAATAAAGAGCAATCGATAGACGGGCGCTATATTCACACAACTAGGAAACCGTATGGAAAAAGTAAGAACTATGAAAAATAGGCGATGTATGTCTACTGCAGTAACGTACAAGTTTGCTAACCTAAGGTACCAAACGAAAGGCTAGAGAGGAAGTGGAAAGGAAGAGGGTTCCGGGAATGAAGGTAGGCAGCGTTCAGCAAGTGTGTGTATATAGACAAGCAATCAACATGCTACAAACAACCCGTTTTACATGGGTAAAATAAAATTGTAATTTGATAATATCTAAAACATCATATGCGGAGAGCTGTCGAAACACTATACAAAAGTTAAACTTCAAAACCGATTCCGTTATATTTTTGTCGTACAGAAAAAAGCGCTCGCCGAACTCACACAATGAACATAAATAGTGCAGACAAAAGGATTCGGAGGCAAGCAACGGTGCGCGCATTCGCTGAATACGGCAGGGAAGACGAAAAGAGATATATACCGCTGCATACATACCTGTGTACATGTCAAACGGCAACAGACAGTCGGGATACGACACAAGAAAATTTTAATTAAACAAGTAAAAGGATGTAGAGGACAATTAAGCGGTTTAGCTTACTTTCCTTGTGGGTCTATGGTTGATACAACTGCACACACCTTAACAGTGGATGATGAAGTACAATGTGAAGTACCTTCTCCAACCCTCTTAAATATTTGTCAGGCCTGTTGTAGTGCCTGAAAGGATTTTCTAGTAACTCGCAGATACGTTGAATAGTGAAAGGAATGCTAGAGCATAAATTTGTGGATGTAACCAACCCATCGAGCTTTTTTAATGTGCTGTACACCAGTTGCCGTAGCTCAATTATAGTGCTTGGCAAAGGGAGGAAATCAGGGACGCTGCTCTCGGCAAGGAAACCATCAATAACCTTATTGAACTTATGGAGTAAAAGAGGTTTAATGTAAACCCATGGAAGCCTTTGAAATAAGGTTAAAAAGAAACAAAGAGATTACATGGTCCTCCCATCACGTGCGATTTGTTTGATGTAATCCTCAAGGATTGGGGGTATGGTGCCAGGTCTGTCTTTCTCAAAAGCTAGGAGTATATTGCCAACGTAAATGAGGATTACATTTTAGTGCGCATAATATGCCTTCCTTGTTTTCCATAGGCAAAAGCGTCATGCGTCTTGATGGCAGAGCGAAGAGGTGAAATTGGGCTGTAAGGCGAAAAGAACTGCGAGTGGAATACAGACTTCGAGGTCACACTGGATATCAAGGCTACCCTCAAGGTCGTGCACCAAGGTTATTTCCATTTCAGTTTAAATTCAGTTACGGATGGGACTGGAACGACAAGAGAATCTCTTTCTACCTTCTTGAGTTGCTGGTTCAGCCAGGAAATGATAAGTTGCTACGAGGTCTTGATGGGTCTGAACCATAACGCCCGAACCCCACCCTGTCCGATTCAGGTTCAGATGGGGCTGGAACGATGGCAAACTAGACTGTTCCTTCTTGAGCGAGTCGTCCAGCCGGGAAATGATATGGTGCTACTAGATCTTGCTGGATCTAAAACAATACACCCAAACCGCACCCTGCTCAACTAATTACTACCCATGTTCCCTGCATTAACAATCCCCGCTGTGCAGGTCACGTGAAGTAAGGAAGATGTAGAAAGAAAAGAGTACAAAAGAGGAAGGGAACTCATTCAAATAAAGGATGACACTAAGGGCTGAGGAGAATGACATCATAGGAATACCAAGTTGGGATGTGGATTTGGTCAGGTGAAGGGAAATAGTTCTTGTTGACTGTCAAGAGCGTATAACTGATGCTCGAGAAACTTTACCGCACGTTCACTGACTAAACTTTCTAGAAGTGAGTTACGGCACTAAATAACGCCACGCGATAACGGCTTTGCCGCGCTGCTCCAGTCGGAATTGGGCTTTTGTAGCTTCATGGAATGACCGAAAAGACAAGACAACCAAACCGGGCTAAATAGTCATCTCAAGTCCGGTCCAACCTTCCCTTTTGAAATGCAGTGAGTGCGGATTATGTCTTTTCGAAGGCCTCGGTAGTGCACTGCATACATACCAAAGCTAAGTAGAGGCTCTGGGCACGTTTGCTACCGTAACACATCGACCAATTTGGAACCTACTCTCATTATCCTCTCAAGCACCATTTTGTCCCTAACAAGGCAGGGCGGGCAAGCGTGAAAGCAGTATTCCAGATAAAGCCGCACGACGACTGAAGACAGCTACACAAATATATCGGCAGTTAAGACCCCGAAAGAAAGGCGTATTATCCAAAACATTCTGAAACCCCTACTTGCATCCTTCTTCCAGTTGTCACCGGAATGCTAGGACAAAGAATGGACGAGACCTAGGTCTACCCGGTTGGAGAAAATGGAGTGTTCGACTAGACCGAACAAGGACCTCGAAGGTTGGAAAGTTGATTCTATACGAAAGTGCGGACACAGCCTGATTATTGGGCAGTAGCCAAAAAGCAGACCAGTCCTAGCGTTTGTCAAGGGCACACTGAATGATCTCAGAAACCCCAGGGACATTTCAACTTTCCATAGCTTAAGGGCATCAATAAAACAACAGGGAGGATACCCCAAGCTCCCCAGAGAGATCGCTTTCGTAGATGAAGAACAGCAGCAGTTTAAGGACTGAGCCTTGTGGGACGCCGCTAAGGAGCGCTTGCCTGAAGAATAAGCTGGGAGTCACATGTACACACTGCTCTCTTCGCTGCACGAATGCAGGTACCCAGTGAAGCGCGCGGCCAGATGCACCATAGCACCTCAGCCTTTATGATGGCTCTAAGTGCGATACCTTAACAAATGCTTTTGGGCAATCGACGAAACGCACATCCACAACGTGTCCATTGTACACTGCCTCGGACCAAGCTCCACGAGCAACAAACAAATTCGTCCGACACGAAACCTTCTTCCGGAATCCGTTTTGGGCACTAGTGATTAGCTTAAACCTATTCAGGTGACCTTCCGACGAATTTCGCAACCGGTTTCCAAACAGCTTAACCGCGGCGCTAGCCGACTGACTGGCCTATACTTTGCTTATAGTCGCCCGTCGCCATTTTGAAGGTAGGACAGATGACAGCCTCCATCCATTCATAAGATAATGTACAGCTGTCAAGTGACTGCCAAAACACCATCGTTTGCAGTTCACTTAGTTCCGCCGCCAAATCATGCAGAAACTTCTGGTGAAGTAACACACGTCCAGCTGCGTTAGAATGGTTCGGTTCTTGCAGCAGCTCAGTGACTTCCGTTTCCTCTACAGTATATTCAGCTAAATAAGCACCCTCACCTACTCTGGGGATCAATTCAAGGTTAGACAACGCGGCCTCATGTTCAAAAGCCCTTGCTCACTGCTCACCAAGCACACGAGACTTGTCCGGGTCCGCATACGCATGAGTTACATAGGCCCGCATCAAAGTTGTAATTATTGAATTTGCAGCACATCTCTTAGTATGCGCGAAACCCTTCTTCAAATTTTCCGCAGCTCCATAAGCCAATTCCTTTTCCTGCAACAGACGAGCTTTCTTTAAGTGTTGTTTGTATCTATTTCTTGCTCCACGGTACGTATCACAGGTGCTAGTTGATGGAGCCGCACGTTAGGTCCACTAGTCACTAGAACGCTTCTGGTGCGGGTACATTCCAATGGTATCTATGTACGGCGGCCGCGCTCGTGTCTCCTTGCTCTTCGCAAGCCAGTTGTAGGAAGTAGACTATTCCGGGAGCTAAGACTTAAACTTATTACAGGCCGCCTGAACTGTTTCGGCCACCAATATTTCGCACCGAAACACAGATGCCTTGATATGCATTGCCTGAGTGCTAGTACACCATTTGTTTAGATATGGCCCAGCGATGCTTTGGTGACGTCTGTTCAAAGCACAACTGAATGATAAACAGTCATGATCACTGGCACCTAATAGAGAGCTGGAAGTGAGGTTACATACATAGTCTAGTGACCTGGCAAAGATTAGATCTAAACTAGACGGTACTTGGGCTTCCATGTACATAGTGGTGATGTCCACGAACTGATGCGACGGTACTTATAGCGTAAGCTCAAGATCTGCAACAAAAGTCCCTGCCGCCGTTGCAAGAAAGATCTGCTCAGCGAACTTCTTGTAGATTGAAGTCCCCAGGGACCAAACCCCTTTGCGGGTAGGGAGCGAATAAATTCCAGCACCTCTTTGGACGCAATCCAAGGGCTTCTAAACACAACTGAACATCTATGTTGAGCCGAGGAAGTGCTAAGCCCTACCGACAGAGCTTTGATAGTTTTATCTGCTGACTGCAACATGTAGGTACGCAAAACAGCAAGTCCACAGCTTACGTAAAGCTCGACGCCGTCGCTTTGTCGGCCAACGAAGCGATCACATCTAAATAGTGCGTATCCAGACAGCTGTAATTCACTATTCGGGATGTCCAGCGACAGCAAAATATAGTTTATGTTTGAATTTATCGAGGTACGCCAACATCAGACATAACCAAATATTATAAGCAGCTAGGTTTCGCAAAAGCAAGTTGCTATGTTTGTAATCGGCAGTGGTCAAAACTTGTACAGGCTTCGGAGATTAGAACATTATTCGTGAGGAATATTATCTTAAATGCTTGACGAGAATTTGGGTGCGTGGGTAGCTAGTCTAGACAGTAAAGGCTCTATAAATGTAGTGAAGACGGTAGATGTGGAGAGAGTATCATTTACATTTACGTATCAAGGAAATATTGAAATATGTCTCTAGTCTACTTACCAGTACAGATTTGCCTTATTTAAACGAATGTTGAGCTATACATTAAACCTTGAACAACTGGTCCTAGACTACGAGCGCCTATCGATGATTTGCTGTGCAGGAGGGATACTAACACGAGTACGAAATGCTCTGCCGGCGGCAGAGAGCACATCGGATCGAAGAAGCAAAACAAAAGTAGGTTAACCAAGTATTGGTGCATATGTTGAAAGTACCCATGGAATCGTCCCTAAAAAACAGTGTTAGACAAACTAGGAGCTCATTTATTCCTAAATACTTACCGCTCTTTGAGAGTCCCGCGCTGGACTCGTACATGTGCAATGGTGCGACAGCGATTATACCATGTATATTATGTAACTGGAGGCAGACAGATGGAAATAAAATTGCCAGGTAAAATAGGTTAGTTCACAGCACTGTGTTAGCAGTCCGTCTGAAGTAGGAAGGAAAACAAAGAGCGCGGTGAGGAAGGGAAGGGGTCGGGATGGGAAAAGCGTAATTGATAAATGCTGCTCATGCAGCCGCCTTCGAAAAACGAAAAAACCGACCATGCCCGATTGTCCTCAAGTTCAGCAGCCAAGATCACGCCAAATGCTTTCTAGACTATAAGTTCATCATAAGAAAGCAAGCGAATCTCGGGCCCATACTGATTAAAGAGGACATGACGCCACTGCAAAGGGCGCTCAGGTCAAATGTACGAACCCTTAATAAGCAGTCTGCACTGTTCCATAAATATGCTCCTTAACCCTCTCCAACCGCCCCTCAGAAGAAACGCTACTGAATGGTCTCCAGTAACCGCTGTCACGACCTTTGCCAATTCAGTGGTCAATATGACACCAATACCGGGCATGCAGTTAACTGATATGCACCTGAACGCAACTCCCACGGCAAGCTCATCAACGGCCTACAACGTTGACATGGACATGTCATAACGACAATTAAATCCTATCACATTAGAGGTACCGGCAGTTGAAGGACAGGCAAAAGTTACGCCCACCTTGAATACAATCATGGACAGAACAGAGTGCAGAGAGAAGCCCAACAGCGTGTCTGATGTACGTGACACGTACACTGAGCTCGATAGCTTGTGCCTCTTATCATCATATACACCGTTTTCGAGTGTTGTAAACGATCTCACGCAGCCTGATACTGACACCGCACCTAAGCCCAGCTGCCCAAACCCAGGTTGTTTTATAACTGTCTCCTCAGCTCCCTACCAAACCACAATATTATAACAATGAGTCGATGCCTAAACGCGCCAAAACGGTCAAGACAACACCCACTTGTTTAAACTACAAACCACGCTTTACGCCGTAGCCTGGTAAAGCGACAGTCAAGGCTGATCAGCCACAACGTAAGAATTATCTCCTTGTTACCCCTAGCTCAACAACGAGTAATTGGATTAAACCCAAACCACCCTACACTGCCAGCCGATCTGCATCGCCACTCTGGCAAAGCCCAAAGCGATACGCAGACCGAACCAAGCATGAAAATATAGGCAACACAAATC